GCCAATCTGCATTAGTACAAGTAATTTCCCCATAGGGAGTTGCCTACATCCGTGAAATCATAGGTCAAGACCAAGAAAATATGTTAAATTATAACACATCACCTAAATATCAGTAACATGAATTGTGTCAGTAAAAATTTAAAATAATTTTATAATTTTACAAATGATCTCATATATGTATATTATACATAATTTAATTTCACAATTCTCAAAGTAGTTGGTCTTTGCTTTGCATCTGCTCAGTAATAGGATCATAAATTTAGTGTTGGATTTGAACCTTAGAGGCCTTTGAGGTCAACCCACTCATTTTACAGATAAGGAAACTGAGGCACAGAGATTTAAATCACTTGTCCAAGATCAGAATGTTGTTTGCCCTTTATTCTCAAAGAGAACTAAGGACATCAGGAGGTTGATGTCTTGACTTGCAAGAGAATTGGATTTAAGTGACCAAAATCACAGTTAATATATGACTAAATCAAGATTTGAACCTAGGTCTTCCTGACTCCAAAACCAGTGCAGTAATCACATTATTTCTCTGAAGAGTCTCTCCATCCTGCTGCTTATCTCTGTAGAAAAGTAGAACTGGTATGCTGTGATTCATCCCATCCTGTTGAATGAAAATGCCTAGTGATATTCATTTGCCATATTTTCAGCAGCACAGTAAGCTTGAAAACCAAATTCTACCCTTGGATAAGCATGAGCAGCTTCCTCTAAAGCCAAAGGGAGTTACATGCATGTCATTTGGGCTGGACTTGGCCCCAAATATTTTATTTATTTTACAAAATTCACTTACTGGCATAGGCAGAAGGAAGATAAAACATCTCCTTTTCATGAGGGTCCCTGAGGGGCAACAGGCATACAATGTTGCTCCAGCAGAATTCATACCACACAAACGATACAACACAGAACACTCTGCTTAATAAAATAAACAACATACAGTCATACATCTGAGTTCTTTGGACATTGACAATGCTTTTTAAAGTTAGATTAAAATGTATTTTGGATTTTTGGAGAGAGAGAGACTTAACGTCTGAGTGGAGCAAAAAGCCTTGTGTGTCTTAAGTTCTGAGCCCTGCACGTGATGCCCAAAGCTAATTTCTGTTTTGAGTGTCTAGGTGAGTAGCAAACTCACAGAAGTATGGTATGCTGGTGACTATCCAGCTTCTGAATTCTGTCCCTTTTCTAGATCCTAATCATATCCTCATTCTACAGAGTTCTAATGCTATTTTGGACTCTAGCAATCCTCTAGACCCCAAGTCTATTCTGGAGTCTTATTCTTATTTTAGTTTCCATTCCTGGTCTGTGTGTCTAGTCCAAATTTGAGGTCTTGTTCCTATTCTAGGCCATTATTCTGATTTTGGATCTTTTCTTTTGGATTCATGCTGAGACAGTTTCCATGCACTTTTGGTACGATTTGCATCCTTCTCTGGCCATGAGGAAAATTTGTTGGCCGGTCACCTACAGCACTTCAGACAGTCAGAAGGAAAGAATCAGTTTGAAATGCATTGATGAAAAGAAAAAAAAACAACAACAAAATCTTGCCACCAAGTGATTGACTAACCGTGCTTTTATTGTATGAATTTGAGCCTTCAGGAAAGTATTGGTCAATATGGTACACTAGGGAGTTGAACTTAAAATTAGCAGCATGTGATTTTAAATGTTGCTTCAGATATTTTTAGCTGTGTGACTCTGAACAAGTTATAATTTAACACCTTGGTTTTCTCGTCTGTAAACTGGGAACACATAGACATATACATTTATAAGTACATATACATATACACAGGGCAGCTAAGTGACACAGTGGATAGACTGCTGGGGCTGGAGTCAGGAAGGCTCATCTTCCTAAGTTCAGTCTGGCCTCAGACACTTACTAGATATGTGACCCTGGGCAAGTCACTTGGCCCTGTTTGCCTCAGTTTCTCATCAGTAAAATGAGCTGGAGAAGGAAATGGCAAACCACTCCAGTATCATTGCCAAGAAAACCCCAAATGGGGTCACAGAAGAGTCAGGACATGACAGAACAACAACAACAGCAGCAATTTTTTTTAAACAATAATATGTGTTTTTTCCTCATAGGATTGGTGTGAGGATGAAGTGAAATCATGTGTATAAGGTACTTTGACAGCCTTCAAATGCTAAATGAATATTACTTTAAGGAAATGTGACAAATTTAAGTTATAAGATTATTATTTTGCATTTCCTTGCTCTGAATTCTACATTATATCTCTATAATGGCTTTTAAGCAAGTGTCAAAATTTTTAATGGAGAGGTTGTAGCTAGTTGGTTCTGGTTCTAAGTTAATAAAGGAAAGGAGGAAAAATAGGGAGGTTTAGGTTAGAAGAACTTCCTGAACATAGCAGTTGTGACAAGTTAGCCTAGTAAGTGATGCCTCTGTTTTAGAAATTAAAGAAAGATAAGAATATTTGCTTTTACCACACAAGATATAAATCTATCTATCTATCTATCTATCTATCTATCTATCTATCTATCTATCTATCGTCTGTCTATCCATACATATTTATATGTGTATATGAACCACTATTGTGGTTCAGTCCTGTCTGACTCTTCATGACCCCATTTTGGGTTTTCTTGGCAAAGATACTGGAGTGGTTTGCCATTTCCTTCATTTTACAGATGAGGAAACTGAGGCAAACAGGGTCAAGTGACTTGTCCAGGGTCACATAGCTAGTAAGTGTTTGAGGCCACATTTGAACTTAGAAAGATGAGTCTTCCTTACTCTAGCCCCAGTACTCTATCCACTGTGTCACCTAGCTGCCCTGTGTATATGTGTATGTATTTGTAAATGTGCATGTCTATGTGTCCAGGTATGCAGATGTATATCTACTATATATCACACACATATATAGTATCTCAATCTCTATCCTACCTATTGTAAATATAAATAGATGAATATACATATATAGGTAGTTTGATCTTAAAGTAGGACCTCTGGCTTTTTAACCTTCTGGTCTTAAGGGAACTACATACATATATTGTATATCTATGTGACTTATACTTTATGTATAGTGGATGGTAGATAAATATTTAGTGAACTAAAATTTAATAATTATCACTTTCTTTCTTAATCTTTCCTTTATTCACAGAAAGGAATAGTCCTACATTCCTAAAATTCTGTATGTATATGGATGTATATATGTATATACATATGAATGGAGACATATGAATGTATGTATATATATGAAAACTCATGTATATACTTCCTCTACACATATTTATATCTGCATATGCTTGCATATACATGTCTGTTTCTCTGTGTCTCTCTGTTTCTCTTTGTCTCTCTCTCTGTCTGTATCTCTCTCTCTCTTTGTTTCTCTGTCTCTGTTTCTCTCTCTGTCTCTCTGTCTGTCTGTCTCTCTCTCTGTAGATGACTCCTAGAGAATAACCTGAGACACCCAACCATTAAGGTTCAGAGATAGAATTTAAGCCCAGATCTGCCTGACTCAAAGCCCAGTACCCTATCTATAGAATCATGTTGTCTCTTTAATATACATTAACATAGAATAAAAATAATACTAACCATATTAATCATTATGCCTATGACTCTTCCTCCATTTGAAATGTCTGACTTTACATAGGACTGAGGTACATACACTTGGCCAGAGAGAAAGGAGCATGGAAAAGAAATGTTGGGCCCAATAATAGATATGCATCTATCTATACATTAATACATGTGAGTGTTAACATATGTGTATATATACATACATTTATTTGTCTAGACCTGTGATTTCATCATTGTCAGAAACTTCTACTGGTGAGGAAATTCCCTGTATCAAGCAGATATCACGTGCTGATCTGATTTGCAATTTATGACTTTAAAAAGGTGTCTGGGGCAATGGGAGGTTAAGTAACCTACCCAGAGTTGTAAAGCCAGTACTTGTCAGAGGATGGACTTGAATTCAGTCCTTCCAGACTCTAGAGCTGCCCCACCCCCCTCATACACAAAACTTCTAAGATTTATGTTAATAATACCTTATCTATACCACTTTACAGAGTGTTTACATTTATGATTGCAAATGATTCTCACAACAATTACCTTATAAAGTTTGTAGGACAGATGTTATTATTTCCATTTAACAGATGAGGAAATTTAGGCTCATAAAAGTTAGGTGATTTGCTCAAAACCATATAGCAAGTTTGAATAGATACTAGAACCCCATTCTTCTGGTCTCAAGTTCACTGATCATTCTACTATGTCATAATTAGAATAGCTTTTATTTACATGGGATCATCTGTTTAGAGCTAGAAGAGACCTTGGAGATCATGGAATCCAGCCCTCTCATTTTACAAATCAGGAAGCTGGGACTAAGAGAAGCAAATGACTTGGCCAGGGTCACACCACTAGTGTGACAACCACCCTCAGTCGTGAAATTCAAACCCAGGTGTTCCTAGCTCCAAATTCCCCACTCTGCTCTATACCATACCGCCCCAGACCAGAAGGTTAAAAAGCCAGAGGTCCTACTTTAAGATCAAACTATCTATCTATGTATATTCATCTATTTATATTTACAGTAGGTAGGATAGAGATTAAGATACTATATATGTGCATCTATCTATCTGTCTATCTATCTATCTATATATAGTAGATATACATCTGCATACATGGGCACATAGACATGTACATTTACAAATACATACACATATACACAGGGCAGCTAGGTGACACAGTGGATAGAGTACTGGGGCTAGAGTAAGGAAGACTCATCTTTCTAAGTTCAAATCTGGCCTCAGACTCTAAGGTTTGCTGAGCATATTCCTCACTACAGTCCTGTGAGGTAAGTAGGACAAGTATTATTTTCTCTATTTCACTGATAAGGAAACTAGGACTCTTCGAGGTAAACAGGCAGGTGCTGTTGCCAGCTCCTACCAGCTCCTACCAGCTCCTACCAACTCCAGAGAGCCAATTGTTACATTTTACACCTCAGAAATCAGCAAGTTCTAAAATCAGAGCTTGTTTTATTGTTTTGTTGATTGTCTAGGCTTAAGAAAGTGATGGAGAAAATGTTAATAATGGAAATTAAGCTTTAAAGTGTGTCAGGATTATTTTTTTTTCCTGGAGACCTAGTTGCTAAACATTTACCAGCCCGTCTGTGGTTATAGGCCTTGTCCATGGTTACACAGCTAGTAAGTGTATGAGGGAGGATTCTTACCCAAGTCTTCTGGTTCCATGTGAATTACTGTCTTCATTATTCCAGGCTCCTTCTCAAAATACTTTGCACACAGTATATCCTAAAACCAGACATTGGTCCTACTCTGACATTCTAATAACTGGTGTCTTGTTAGGGTGTACTTTGCTTCAGTCATTTATTTATTTACTGTTTGAAGTAAATGAAAGTATAACTTAAGAATAACAGGTTAAGTTTTCCATTTTTTCAGAATATAAATTTTGCAATTTGATTGTTGCAGATTTCTGAATATTCTGGTTTATGAAAACTTCCTCAAGTCAATCTGAGATCTCAGTAACATCGACACTTTTTTGAATAAGAGCTTTCAGAAATGACTATTTGAAACTTTTCAGGTCACATTGATCTTCCCATGGGAATTCTCCAAACTCAATAACCAGATGAAGTCAGTTGCTGAATTTAGTGAAATTTGTAGAGTTGATTCCCTGATGTGAAACTCTGTCCACAACAACAAAACGTGGTTGGGGAGTTCCTTGTTGTAAGTGATGTTTACTAACTGAGCATGAGGAAGTCCTCCTCTCCAAAAGGCTGATTCAGGCTCCGAGACAAATAAAGACCTCTTCAAGGGAGCTAAGCCCCAGAACAGCATTTTTTCCTAATTTAGAAAGGGAGGGATGAATTATCAGTTTTCATGCAACAAGGACCCATTCAACTCATTCAGAAGCAGAAACTTTCCACTGTTTACAAATGACATCACTTGTTATCAAACTTTCCTACCCAACATTAGCACTCCTCTCCAAAGAGAAGAGGGTAGAAGTCTTTTTTTTTTATATGTTTTTTTTTTTTAATTTGGCTAAGGTTTTTAACCTAATGCAGGGCTTGTTTGAGAAAACATAGGCAGGTTTTCCTACCATTTCAGTCTAATACAAACAGATTGAGCTAGCAATTCCAAGGCATTGCATACTAAAAGGTAGAAATTGCCCAGGATTCCTAGTGTGAATTGTCCTGGATTCCTACTTATCTTCTACCTAGTCAGGAATGTCTCCTCAGCTACCATGAGCTTCTTTGAATTTAGGAGACTGTCAGATGAAGGAATTCTTTACAAAAAAGCCTTCTTAAGAAGCTGACAGTTAGATTGGAAAATTAAGTGTATTGTAAAGAATGTAGACCCAGAGAGTCAGGATTCCTGAATACTAGCTCTACTTCAATCAGTCAACAAACATTTATTGAATTCCTCCAACATGATAGGCATTATGTTAAGTACTCTACTTCAATCAGTCAACAAACATTTATTGAATTCCTCCAACATGATAGGCATTATGTTAAGTACTGGAAATGTGAAAAGCCAAAATGAGGCAGTCTCTAGTGTTGCCATTTTCTCTGTGAACTTGGACAAGTCAACTGACATCTCTTTGTAATAGTTTCCTCAGATATAAAATGAAGAAGTTGGACTAGATAATCTCTAAAGTTCCTTCTAAATCTAATTTCTATCATCCTTCCATCCTTTCTTCCTTATGATCCATTCATTGCTAACATTTTATAATATTTCATGCATATATTTCACAGAATCAGCTATGATGGGGCATTTGGACACTGAGATAGAAAATGCAAAACAATGATTGAAATGGTATTTGGAAGGTGGAGAAGTAGGGAATTTTCTTTCTTAAAAAGGCTCTTTATTGATACCTTTTGCCAATTGGCCAGTTCTGGATGGAAACCCTCTCTCACCCCTTGATGAACCCTCTCATTAACAAAGAAAAACAATTAAGCAATAACAATAACAAAATACAGTAACTGCAATTGACAACGTATACAATATTCTGTCCTAGTAGTCCACCCAATAGCTCAGTTATGAGGAAGAAATATATTTCCTTACTTGTTCTCTATTTCCCTTATCTTTGTTTGTTGCTTTTAATTTATTCCGTTTTTGCCCCTTCTTCCCCTTAATGATCTTCTCTTCTTCATTGTCCTAATATTTGTGTATAATATCTTTTCTTTCTGCTTATGTCACTCTGAATTAGTTCATAAAGATTTTCCAGTACATCTCAGATTTCAACATGTTTATCATTCCTTACTAGATGATAATATCCCATTATATTCATACAGCAGAGGCTTGTTTCACATTTTTTGCTGTTAGACATTTTACCATGGAAGGAGATTTTTTAGACCCTTTTATGCCCAAGGTGTGCAAAAAAAATTGAAGCGTGTAGACTAATCTAACAATAAAATAATCAAAACTATTAAAGCCAATTCTTAACATTGTTTACCATTGGTCCTAATAACCATATCATTGAATTCTCTCCCAAATATCACAGACAAGTGCTCACTTATTTTCTCTTTGACTTCAAGGGAAGAAGCAGAGAGACAGAGTTACACAGTAGAGTGCTATATTTGAAGTAAGGAATTAAATTTAGTGTAGTTCAGTTCAATTTAACTCAACAACTTTTACTTAACACCTACTGTGTGCCAATAACTATACTGGACCTCAGAGATACCAAGAAAAAATGAAAATAGTACTTTCTCTAAAGGAATTTATATTCATAGGGATGTTGTTCAGTTGTGTCAGACTCTTCATGACCCCATTTGGGGTTTTCTTAACAAAGACATTGAGGCTGTTTGCCATATCCTTCTCCAGTTCATTTTATAGATGAAGAAACTGAGCCAAATAGGGCTAAGTGACCTGCCCAGGGTCACATAGATAGTAAATATCTGAGGCCAGATTTGACCCTATGAAGATGAATCTTCCTGACTCCAGGCCCAAAACCTCTATCCACTGATAGCTACATTGACTGTAGGTTAAAATATAAATACCTATATTCAACTTTGAAAACCCTAGGAATATAAACAGGCCTGCCTGCATGGATTCTATTCATTCTTAAGGGCATACCTTTCTGACCTGGCCTTATGGTGGTAGTCAGGAATAGTGTTTTATTGTGTAAATGAAGAATTGTATCTTTTTAAATTTTATTCTAAGTGAAGTTATTTTCATTGCATTTTTTATTTTTACTTTTGGTCTGTGAGTGTGTCCTTGCATTCCAATCATGAACCTGATTCATCGGACAAGCTTGAATTAAGTAAGCCTGGTCTAGAGTAGATACTTACTAGCTATGTGACTCCTGAAGCTTATAACAGTTTCATTTTCTTCACCTGTAAAAATGCAGATAGAAATGGCAACTTCACAAGGTTGTGAAGATCAAATGAGGAAATCTAAGTCAAGAACTTTGTAAGCCTTAAAGTACTATGTAAATGCTAATTATTATGTTTTTATCTTTCTTTCCCCCCCCTCTTTTCAGTATCAATATGCTCAATTTGATTGTATCAAGTATGAAATGTTTTAATTCCATGTAGTATGTTCTCTTCTTGATGCTTTCATCCTATTTGAGGTTAATTTTGACTTTTCCTCAAATTAATTAATGATCTGACTACACACAGATATTTGATAAGAAATGATTCCTATGTAAGTAACCAGTTGTTTCCTACCCATTTAGTGGAACTGATTTCAATTTTCTGTTATATTGTATGGTATGTCACGTCCAACCCTTTGTAACACCAAGCATTCAGAATATACCACTGTGAGGCTTCTGGAGTGTACTACATGCCTAAATGGCTTCTGTCATTTTTTTATTCCTAAACTACATCTTCTTCTTCTTCTTCTTCTTCTTCTTCTTCTTCTTCTTCTTCTTCTTCTTTCTTCCTTCCTTCCTTCCTTCCTTCCTTCCTTCGTGCACACATTTACATTGAAATTACCAAATGTCAAGGCACATGTTGACTTTGTTTAGATAACATTGTCCAGTTTTTTTTTTATTTTCTTTTCTTTTCTTCTTTTTGCAAGGCAATGGGGGGAATTGACTTGCCCGGGGTCACACAGCTAGCAAGTATTAAGTGTCTGAGGCCAGATACAAACTTAGCTTTTCCTGAATCCGGGGCTGAAGCTCTATCTGTTGTGCCTTCTAGCTGCCTCTTGTCCAGTTGTTCACAGGCTTTCTTCACCTGCTCATTGCACATAACAGATACTGGCACATAAGCTGTTGTGACCTTTATGCTGACCTTTTGGAGCATGTTCATCATGAGCACTGCAAAGTGAGATGATCCATGAATGATACTTCTCCTTGCTTTGAAGTACAAGCCAACTCATTTCTTTGCCTTTCCAAAAAATGTGAGCCACCTTCCATTTAGCTAAAAATTACTTATATTTTCTGGGTTTATCTATAATAATTATTTACAGTATTTTTATAAATTTATATAATTCTTCTGGCACCATGCCAACTTGGGAGGACTTATTGGACAAGCATCTCACATTTAGAATATTAGCAAGACAGGTTTATACAAAGTCTAAAAATTATGTCATGCTCTGCCCCTTTCTTGGTACTCTTCATTTTTGCCACAGAGACAGAAGAAAGTACATAGACTCATGAGTCATTTTTAATTTTTTCTTTAATCCAATGGGCTGCCATGGCCAAAGACTTCATTACCTAGGGACCAGACCACTACTTCTGACACTCTGTACACAGCTCAGCAGGTCCTGACAGCACCTGCAGTCCATTCTTAGGACCATCCTTGAAGACTTCCTAGTTTAGGAAAACTAGAGAGAGCTTGTGCACTTCTAGGCTGGCTTTTGAAATGCCAGAATTAACTCCAAGCCACAATGAGACCTTAGAGTATAGTATTTTATATCTATCCTTTTTGAAGATGAAATGATTGTATTGGTCCACTGCTCCATACTACACCTTTGTGAAGAACCAAGTAAGCTGATAGAGTCTCCATTTGTTTTGCTAAATCATGTCATCTTTCAGAAAAATAGGGGAAGTAACAATAGGGACAGTTAGCTGGAGTTGATTCTGACTAATAAGAAGAAACTGGTGGATGAAATGAAAATGCCAAGAACCCTAGGAGACAGTGGTATCCTAGGTCCTATCACTGGTAAGGAGGGGGATGCCAGTCAGTGTTTGATGTATGTGCCCTACAGAACAGGGATTTTCAAAGAGTTTAGAGATAAGGTAGGTAGATTCCCATGACCTATAACTATAAAAGGAAAGTCATCTCAGGAGGTATGAGGAAGGTCTCAAAAATGATCCCATGAGTCAAAAATAGTGTCTGAAGATGGTTCTTGTAAATATAGTATTTGCCAGAAGGGCACACACAAGGCCTTGAAATAGAGACACTGAAACTAATGACTATGGAAGAATTATGAAACCTCTGGGGAATCACCAGGCCATTCTTCTCCTGAAGGCTTTAGTCATTATTCATTTTGTTTAATGTGAGCAAACAATACCAGTGATTCATTCTTCAATTACTTGGTCACTTAAATTAACATCAGCCATCTGAAGGGCCTGTGCTGTGGTATGGATGATAAGGTTTGTCCTGTGGAATTGTGCTGGAAAATTGTTTTTTTTTTTTCTGTGGGAAGCCTTAAGGCATCAAGTGGCCCTGGATTTCTGGGGTGTGTGTGTATGTATGCGTGTGTGTGTGTGTGTGTGTGTGTGTGTGTGTGTGTGTGTGTGTGTGTGTTTGAGAGAAAGAGAGAGAGAGAGAGGAAAAGAGAGAGAGAAAGAGAGAGAGAAAGAGAGAGAGATTTGGAACAAGAATACTCAAATATCATTGCTAAATGATAAATTGGATGAGGTCCTAACTGAATCAGGCCTGGGCAATGGCTCT